CGGCTGGGGTGACCGGCCCGCCGGGGTACAGGGTCGCAGGAGCTGCCCGGGACTGCCCTCCGGGGGAATGCGAAGCCCGGGCACCCGCGGTGGGGCGGGGAGCGTGTGGGTAAAGAAGCCACCTGTGATCTCTGGCCTGAGGGACTTGGAGACCCACGTAAGGAGTCAGTGTCCCGGGAAAACCCGAATACTTTACAACACGGCGGTAAATAAAGCGTGTGGCTCTGTGATAAAGACAACAGGGTGACTGCGTGGGTAAAGGAACGGGTGACAGGGAAGGATCTGAGGAAGTGGCCAGGCGGTAGATGGGCCCTCGAACGAACAGAAAGGAAAGGACAGGCCAGCTGGGGGCAGACAGGTGAAGATCCTGAGCATAGCCCTTCAGTCAGCCAACCAGGAAGGGCCTGTGGGCCCCTGAGGAGCTGGCTCTTCCTCCTAGATGCACAGGGAGCCTCTGCAGGCTTGGGCAGGACAGTAAGCAAGCAGACCTCTGTTTGTAAGGAAGGAGACAGGAGGAGTCAACTTCTCTGAGCCCGCTTCCTCCTGGTAGTGAAGGTCGGCGTGGTCCCCAATTCAGCGGTGATGGGAGGAGTAGAAGCGAGTAGGAGACCAAGTCCTTAGGTGGCCAGGGAGCAGGACTCCCAGCATCAGCACGGTCTGCCTCCTCACGAGAACACAAGGTTTGGATCCTCAGGAGACTTGGGGCACAACCAGACACGGCCCCCTGCTTTCCCTTTGCCTGCTGGCCAGAAGCTCTGGCACCCTGGATCGTCCCTCCTTCCCCACAGGGTGGCCTGAGCCAGCATTCTTCCTCTTGCCTGTTGACTGGGGGGTAGATTGGAGGAGAAGTTATGGCCCAGCTTGCTTAGCCGACAGAAGGCAGAAGTAAGCCTGCAAGCTGGATCTTTAGTTCCGTGGAACTCCTGCCTAGTTCTGGGTTTGTGCGGAGGCTGGTGGCCCAGTGTTGCTGGTGGTCTGAGGGCACCTCGCAGCCAATCCTGCCCTCTTTTGTTGCTCGACCCCTGGGCGGGCACTGCAGGCACAGCTGAGAGCCAAGCTGGAGGTCAGCCAGCAGCAGGCCACCCAGGCTCACGCCCAACTCCAAGAGCTACAGCAGCAGAAGAACCAGATCCAGGTACAGGGCCTGTCGGTGACTGCATCCTCACATTCATCCTGAGGGTGGCTACCCACTGGCCCCAGGACACAGGCAGTAGGTGTAAGCTACTACCTTGAAAATGCTTCCTGGCAGCAGAAAGTGAGGGGCCCAACAGGAAGCCCAGCCCCAGAGGGAGGAGGTTCCAAGAACCCCGGGTCCCTGCATCCCACCCCTTGGCCCTGGCCTGCCTTGGCGTGGTGCCTGGCCACCCTGAGACTCTTCTGTGCCACGCAGTTTTCTGCCTGCAACCTGGCCTCAGTGGTCTCGGGCAAATTCAGCCGCCTGCTGCAGGCCCTGGAGTTGCGTCGGATCTCAGCACAAAGGGACATCGAGGCAGCCCAGACACAAGCACTGGCACCAGCCCTGGATGAGGAGCAGCAGCTGCAGGGCCACCTGGAGGCCCTGGCTCAATATGGCCAGAGGGTCCAGGACCTCCTGGAGCAGGTGGATGACCAGACCTTCCTCCAGGTACCAAGCCTCTGAGTATGGGCTGGGGCCTGGCCTGCCCTTGTGCGCCAGCTCACTGCCTCTGTCCCCGGAGCTCAGGAATTGCAGCAGCTCTCTGAGCCTCCGGAACCCTTTGGCCCACTGACCCCCCTGCAGTGGAACGAAGACCAACAGCTGGGCAACCTGAAGAAATTGCTGAGCCTGCTGTGTGGCCTCCTCCTGGAAGAGGGGGCCCCTGCCACGGTGCCAGCCAGAGCTCCTGACTTGGTCCCCCTGATTAGTAAGGCTGACTTCAAGCCTTTCCTTACCCTTTTGGGCCTGGCTGTCCTCCCCTAGGGAAAAGAGGGGGCAGGACTCATCGTGCTCCCCTCCCCATCTGCTGCCCTAACCCTGTCTTGTCCCCTAGAGGCCCCAGATCCTGAGGCACAGGTCCTGAGTGTGGTGTGTCCACTGAGGAAGAAGCTCTGGCAGAGTAAGGAGGCCCAGTGCTTGTGGGGTACATGCTGTGTCTGTCCTGTCCAGGACTTCTGTTCTATGGCTCCTTCTGTACACACTGGGAGCAGGACATCCTGGTCCACGTCTGCCCTGATTTGGGGGGGTACTGGGAATCGAACTCAGGTCCTTGCACTTGCAAGGCAGGCGCTGGAACCACTGAGCTAAACCGCTGAGCTAAATCCCCAGCCCCAGCCAGCATAGATTTAAACTACAGGTTCCACAGCTGGATGTGGGGGCACACACCTGTAATCCCAGCACTCTGAGAAGCTGAGGCAGGAGTTCAGCCTGGGCAACTTAGCAACTTAGTGAGACCCAGTCTTGAATTAAAAAATAAACAAGGACTGGTGATGTAGCTCAGTGCAAAGGCCTTGGGTTCAGGCTACAAAAGGAAAAAAAAAAAAAAGTTGACCTGAGAGCTGAGAGCTGAGAGCCGCCGTTTTTATCCTTCCACTGAATAATTGAGTACCGAGTTAGTTTCTCGCTCTGGGCCTTGATTTTCTCCTCTGTCAAACGAAGATTCCACCTGAGTCGCAGGAGGAGTGAACAAGGTGGTGACATCTGGCGTTCACCTGCAGTGTGCCCAGCCCATGCTCTGTGGTCAATTTGTGGAGCTGCCGTTGCTCTCTGCCTTCTGTGCACAGCGTGGCCCCTCTGCCTACTTCCGTCTGTCTGTCTCTCCCCAATAGATTATCGAAATCTGACCTTTGATCCTGACAGTGCCAACCACCACTTCAGCCTGTCCTGCCAGGGCCAGCGGGTGATGCACTGTCACCGTTCTCAGGGCCCCGCCCGGCCGGGCAGCTTCGAGCTGTGGCAGGTGCAGTGTGCCCAGAGCTTCCAGGCAGGGCACCACTACTGGGAGGTGCGGGCCTCTGACCACTCTGTGACCCTGGGCGTCGCCTACCCGGAACTGGTGCGGCAGAAGCTGGGAACCAACACAGACAACATTGGCCGGGGGTCCTGCTCCTGGGGCCTCTGCATCCAGGAGGACAGTGTCGTGGCCTGGCACGATGGGGACTCCCGGCGCCTCCCCGGAGTGTCTGCACGGCTCCTGGGCGTTGATTTGGACCTAGCCTGTGGCTGCCTTACCTTCTACAGCCTGGAGCCGCAGGTCCAGCTCCTGTACACCTTCCATGCCCTCTTCACCCGGCCCCTCTACCCGGTCTTCTGGCTCCTGGAGGGGAGGACCCTCACCCTGTGCCATCAGTCTGGGGCCAAGCTCCCTCCAGTGCAGCAGGAAGCGGCCTCAGCGCTCCACTGAGGAAGGCATGGGGTGGTGCTCTGGGCTGGGGACCGGTGCCACTGAGTGTGCCCAAGAGCTGGCCTGGGGATGTAGTGATTCCAAGAGAAATATTCTAATGACTGTCCAAGGGACCCAGTGGCACAGTTCTCAAAGGAGTGGGCCCTCTTTTGTGTTTGTGTTGTTTTTTTTTGTTATTGTGTACCAGGAACTGAACCCAGGGCCTTTGGCCTTTGCACTGACCTGTATCCCAGCTTTTTTTTTTTTTTTGAGACAGTCTAAGTGTCTGTTGCCGGGCAAACTTAACAATCCTCTCGCCTCAGCCTCCCACAGTGTTGGGATTACAGGTTTATGCCACCACTCAGCTGGCCTCTCTGTTTTTACACTTTAAATATGTGCAGTTTATCTTCCACCAGATATCTCAATAAAACTGTAGAAAAATGAAGTGAACTAAAATAAAGTGGAGTTAGAAATGGTGGTCCCAGATTCAGCATTCATTCTCTCCCACTCATCTGAAGCCTTTCAGTAACCACTTCCTGTGGCTCCCTACTCCCCCAGCTCCCACAGACACTGAAGGCCCCCAGTCTGTTTGGAGACATGGAGCAGCTGTGAGGGGCGTGTCCAGGAGACCACCCCAGCTCCTGTGGACGCCAAAAGGGTCTCAGGCAGCAAATAAGGAAGGGACAGGCATGGGCTTGGTTGGGTAGACACTGTCCTTGAGTCTGGGATCGGGGCTGGACAAGGCCTGGAACTGCAGCTCAAGTGTCCCTAGGCAGGGCCTGTCGTTGGCATGTGGCCCTGCTGGGCTGTGCTGTCCTCTCTTGACAGGCAGCAGGCAGCCTGCACACCGGAGTTCACTTTTCCAGTCCCTTTGCAGGGGACAGCGAACTGAAAGAGTCCCAGGTCTCATGTAGCCTGGGCTGTTGTGTGTGACAAAATAACATACTGACCCTCATTTACCTCCCCTGATAACATGCAGAGACCGAAATCAATGTGTGAGGAGATGAACCTCGAGTGATTCCAACAGAAGTATTCTAATGACTGACAAATTTATTTACCTGTCATTAGACATTTAAGATATTGTTATGGGCCAGGAATTTAGCTCAGTGATTCTGCCACCTGCCTCACAAGCACAAGGTCTGGAGTTCGATCCCTAGTACCAAAAAAAAAAAAGATTTTTGGCTACCCAGGCATGTTGGCACACACCTGTAATCCTAGCACTCCAGAGGCTGAGGCATGAGGAACTATGTAGCAAGACTGCCTCAAAAAGCCCGGTGTGGTGGCATACACCTGTAATCCCAGCACTTGGGAGGCTGAGGCAGGAGGATCACTGTGAGTTTGAGACCAACCTGGGCTACATAGTGAGATCCAGGTCAGTCTCAACTACATAGTGAGACCTAAAAAAAAAAAAAAAAAAAAAAAAAAAAAAAGCCTCAGAAGAACCAAAACATTATTTTTTTATTATAAAATATAGCCAGGATGAATATTTTGGGGCAGGAAGCCTTGGACATATTTTAGTTATGTACTTAGGCTAAACCCCTAAAGTGAAATTGTCAGAAAACTGAACATTTGAAAAAATTGTTTTATTTTGTTTCTTTTTGTGGTACTGTGAATTGAACCCAGGGCCTTTGCATTGAGCTACATCCACAGGCACCCCCCCCCCCTTTTTCAAATTTGAGCAGGGTTTCACTAAATTGCCCGGGCTGGACTTGAACTTGTACTTCTCTAGACTTAGCCTTCCAGAGTGCTGGGATTACAGGCGTGCAGCATCCTGCCCAGCTACCGCTGCCATTTTAATGGTTACAGAGAGCAGCGCCTTTTCACGCATCTCCCAGAAATCTGCAGGTCCCTCTGCCCGCTCTGATGGCCGCTCCATCTCCTGTAGTGCAGTTGAACCAGTATTAGAGGGGGGAAAAGCGTGAATTCAGGGTGTGGCACACAGGGACTTGTGAGTGGGTATTTCTGGCTTCTCTGTCCTGTCCCCTGGAGCTCCTTCCTTCCTGTTATCTGGGCTTCAGGCTGCACAGCAGGGGAATGGATGTCTGAGATAGGACCAGAGGTTTAAAAGACAGGGCCAAATGGGTCAGAAGGGCTGGAGGGAGTTGGACCGGAAGCCAGGCAGACGAGGGGTAGAGGGGACAAGGGTCTGCTCTTTCGCAGGCAGGGAGAGAGCAGAGTGGGAACTGGGAAGTATGCTGTGGTGGCCTCAGACTGGCCAGCACTTGAGATTCTGAGAGCAAGGTCCCCACCCTACTCCCAGGGCCCAGCCCAACCCTCAACCAGGGGTGGAACCGGAACAGAGACCCTAGAGACACTCGGCAGCCCTTAGGAAGTGCCAGAGCACTGACTTCCCAGACCCGAAGCCAGCCGGGCATGGTGGTACACGGCTGTACTTCCCCTCTCTGGGAAGCTGAAGCAGGAGGATCACTACTCGGCTGCTCAGTGGAAATGCCCCGGGTTTGATCCCCAGTACTGGGGGAAAAAAAAATCAGTGAAGGAAAGAGGGCCTGTGTGGTGGATTAACTAATGGTCAACTTGGAACACCCACCTGAACCAAGTCAGTGTGGTTCTGGGAATGGAAGACCCACCTGAGGATTACTGCCAATGGCATACGGGGAGAACTGAGGGGAAGATCAAATGCCATTGATTTTCCTAGAGCAGTGAGTGGTTTTCCTAGGATCTTGACTGTGAGTGTCCCTTCCTGGCTCCAGTGCAGATCCCTCAGCCTGGTGGCCCAGGTCCTTCACCCCACCAGCACAGACATCTTAGCTTCCACCACTGGCCTCTGAGCCTTCCAGGAGCAGATCCTCAGTATGGACAAGGGCTCTAGGCCTCTGGCTGGACTTGAATGAGGCATTGCCATGGGATCCAGGGCCTCAGCTGGATTCTTTGGGTCTCTAGCACGTGGACAGATCTCTCAAACTCCCTGCATTTGACTTTTGGGGTGAATATTATAAAATAATCCTGCGGCCGGGGATTTGGCCATGCAGAACAGGAGCCAGAAGCAAGTGGATCCCGGATCTACTGTTTTTGTTATACCTGTTTTTGTTATACCCTCATGAAATTGTTTACTCTTTAACCTAATGTATTAATTTGATATAAATACAAACTTTTTTTAAAAAAATTAGGGATTGAATCCAGGGCTTTCACACTGAGCTACATCTCCAGATTATTATTTTTTGTTTGTTTTTTGGTACCGGTAATCAAACTTGGGCCCTTGCACTTGCCAGGCAGGCAGTGAAACCACTGAGCTAAATCCCCAGCCCTGTTTGTTTTGAGTCAGGCTTTCATAAGTCGCTAAGTTCCCCAGACTGGGCTGGAGCTTGCAATCCTCCTGCCTCAGCCTCCTGCCTGCTGGGATCACAGGAGGTCATCACCACACTACACCAGGTTTGTTTTGTTTTGTTTCTTTTTGACACCGGTATGAAAAGGTTCCTGCAGAGCTCAAAAGTTGCCTTTGTCCCTAACAGCCCCTTCATTTTGCAAAGATTGCAGACACTGGGCAACAACTGTGAAATGATAATGGAAACAAGCTATCAAGATACCACCATCCTCCAGGGCACAGTGGTTCACATCTGTAGAGCCAGCTACGTGGGTGACAGAGGCAAGAGAATCACTTGAGCCCTTGAGTTCCAGACCGGCCTGGGCAACAGAGACCCCACCTCAAGAAAGGAAGGAAGAGCTGAGTCTGGTGGTGCACACCTGTTCAAGGCCAGCCTGAATGCATAGCAAGACTGTCTGAAAAAGCCAAAAAGAAAGCCAGGCATGGTGGCACACAGGTGTAATCCCAGCACTCAAGAGGCTGAGGCAGGAGGATTGCCACGAGTTCGACTACATAGTCTAAGGCCAGCCTGGACTACATAGTGAGACTCTGTCTCAAACAAACAAAAAGAAAGAAAGAAAAAGAAGAGGAGCGGGGAAATGCCAGCACTCTGACAAGATATTTGCATGCTTTCCTCCTGGAGCAGCAGATCTTCCTGAGCAGAATGTCAGCAGGATACATCTCTAGCTACCCTCAACCCGAGAACACCCCTTCAGAGCCAGGTGGAGCACGATGGTGTCAGCGAACCCAGGTACCTTGCTGCCAAGCTACTGAGCAGGGTGGTGCTGATCCTTGGGTCTCCTGATCCTTCTTGGATCTTGGCAAACAAGCAACGGCTGTGACCAGGGCTCCTGCGGAAACAAACCCACGTATGGAACTCATTATCCATCTTCCTGCCAAGCTGGGTGCGCCCAGGCCACTCCCACTGCTATTCCTTCTGTCCGGAAGATCTTTTCCTGCACCATCCCACCACCCAAAGTCCTAGCCGCCTGCCCAGGACAGCCCAGCTCAAATGTCACTCCCATAATCCCCAGCTTTCCCCAGGATTCCCAGGTTGTACCTCTGGGCACTTGTTCCCAAGGGAGGGCCAAGTGACTGGAATGTGTGTGTCCTCACAGAACTCATATATTAAGTTAATTTATTCTCTCCCCCAGCCACTTTCTTTCTCATTTGGCAGTACTGGGGATTGAACCCAGGACCTTCACACTGAGCTACACTCCCAGCCCTTTATTTTTAATTTTGAAACAGGGCCTCATTGAGTCACCAAGTTGCTCAGGCTGGGCTCAAACTTTCAGTCCTGCCGCAGCCTCCCAAAGTGGTGAGACATATGTTCGAATCTTAACCCCCCAAGGGTTAAGGGAATGGGGCCATCCAGAGATGACAAGATCATGAGATTGGTGACCTTAAAAGGGGCCCCAAAGAGCTCCCTGGCCCTCCCTCTGCCACGTAAGGACATGATGAGAGATGGCCAGTTGGCACAGCTAGAGAGCCCTGACCAATGCACGCTGCTCCCCTGGTCTCAGACTTCCACCCTGCACAAAGAAATGTCTTGTTTACGAGCCACCCAGGCTCTGTTCTCTGTCACAGTGGCCATGACTACGGCAGGGTTATCCTGTACAGGCCAACATAGACAGTACACTGCCTCCCAAGCTGCTCCCTTAGCCCATCAACAAAGCCTCTATGGACGGACAGACAGACAAATAGGTGGATGGACAGCTGAGCTCAGGGGAGGGGCAGCAGGAGGCATAGACAGGAGCCTGTGAAGGGTATGAAGGGCAGAGCCTTGATGTCTACCCAGGAAGGTGAGGGCTGGTGGGCAATTCCCTGCCTTTCTGTGAGATTCCTGTCAATGAGGGAAACCTGGCAAGGACCAGGCCTTCCGTCCTTGTGCTTCAGCTGAGGTCCTCAGCTGAGAGATTCGGCCCTCGGGGACACTGGATGATATCAGAAACAGTTCTGATTGTTGGACCGGGTGGCACTCCTAGCACCAAGTGGAGAGGGCCCAGGGGTGCTGCTCACCATCCTATATCTCCCAAGACAGCCCCACAACAAAGGATCCCGGGATACCTGAAAACCATTAGAGTGTAAACTTTATTTATTCATTCATTCATTTACCTGCCATACTGGGGATTGAATCCAGGGGCACTCTACCACTAGCTGCATCCAAGGCTTTATATTTCGAGACAGTCTTGCCAAATTACCCAGGCTAGGCTTGAACTTGGGATCCCCCTGCCTAAGCCTCCCAGAGTGCTGCAATTACAGTTGTGCACCACCACACCCGAATGAACTGTAGATTTTCAATGCTCAAATCATATGGTATGTGAACCAATATTCATTAAGCCTCTTAAAAAAAAAAAAAAAAAAAAAAAAGACCTTCAGGGCTGAGGATACAATTCAGTGGTAACCCAAGTTGGATCCCCAGTGCCTAGCAAGTGTGAGGCCACGGGCCCTGAGTTCTGTCAGCCACAGTGGTGCACAACTATAATCTCGGTACTCTGGGAGACTGAGGCACAAGCATTACTAAGAGTTCAAGGTCAGCCTGAACTACCTATCAAGATGCTGTCTCAAATAAAAGTCTGGGGATGAATGTGGCTCAGGGCAGAGGCACTGGGTTCCATTTCTAGTACCACTCACGTGTCACATATACAACTCCCACCCTCATGCACAGAAGAAATCTAAGGCTAGGAGTGGAACTCAGTAGTAGTTGACATGTTCAGTATTCACAAGGCCCTGAGTTCAATCCCCAGCACACACACAAAAAGGAAGTTTGACACAGAGAGGA